CGTAAATGTTATAATTTCTTTTCTGTGTAAAATAACATTATACTGGACGTCATAGGCTACATTAGGTATATATATTTACTCTATTTCTTCTAAACCCAAATTGATCTTGATCTAATAGTTCTTCCGCCCTTTTTTCCATCCTCCTCTTTACAATTCTAGTTAAGGTTTTTGACGCATGGGAAGTTAAGCTAATAGTTCTAAATGTCTCGCACCTATCCGCGCCTTCCTTTTTACGTATGGTTACTACGACATTCCGTTTATAATTCTCTGGGACTTTCTCCATCATAACAAAATATTTTAGTAAAAAATTTCTTTGGTGCAATTTAATTAATATATATANTATTTTTTGAAGCATAGAAAATAGTTATTCTCATGTACATTCACACTTTCAAAAATTCATAACTTTTAAAATACGTATTAACTTTACAAAAAAACCTTCATACCTTTTTTATCGAGATTAAACTAAAGAATATAAAAAAATTGTTCTGGCCAAAAGTTGTTTTTTAGCATTTATTTAAACAATGGTGAATTAAACAATACCCTGACCGAGTTACCTGCTGGCCACCTATATCGTGTTCAGGAGAATTTTTCAAACAAAATTGCGTAAAAAAATTTAATCCGAATAATTTTTCCCACTCACCAGCACATATTGCCTGGACTATATATAATTATATAATAATCCGAATATCATTAAATTGCCCTCGGCGTCAAAAGTTGCCGACCATCGATCGGACCTAAGCTAGGGGCTAGGCACATGGTGCATAGCTCACAGCACTTCATACAGCCAACTTTTGCACCTGGAACTTCTCGAACACCGAAATATTTTCCATCTAGAACATTTTTTTGTATCCTTAACATAGATATTATTTTACGTTTATTCCAAACTCTCGAACCTCTTCTTTTTCTAACTCGAAAATTTCTTTAGCTACAGGTACGGATTTTACATTATGAATTTTCTGAATTGAAATTCATATTAATATTCTTCGGAAATATCTAAATTAATACTTTTACATTTCAATTACATTTCTTTGAAATAACTGACGTATGTAGTAATGAAAAATTCAAATTTAACAATAGATACAAGTAGTGTGTTTAAGATAAGTAGCTACTAATCCTAAAAGATAATGAGTGAGTCAACTTGTTTATCTGTGCCGGAACGTGAAAGCTTAATTAGACACATCGTCTCTTGTACTTATTGCTTGTAAGTACTATGTATTTATTACATTTGTCAAATGTTACGTGCATAAACCTTGGACTATGACATGTCTTAATGTGACTGAATTATATTTACAACAATTAAACCCACAGAGGTATAACAGTGCTCCCAATTATCCCCGTGAAGATAAATTTATGCCAACCATTACATAAATATTTTCCATTTTCTAATGTATATTACCGTCACAAAATTTTGTCCGCAACGAGATAGAAACCAAAACGTGAACGTTATATGGAATTTCGCCCGTCATATTTTCCAATATAACAATTGAGGCTTTAACCAAAGGCAACAGGAAGAAACAGATAGGAAAGAGATCAAATTTATTCTCAACAGTCCCAATTGAATTGCTAGGTCCAATAATAGTCAATGCGAAAGTAATTATTCAAACTTTTTGGAAGACGAAATTAACATGGGATCAAGCGGTGACATTAAAATTAAACACGAAATTACTGCCATTGAGGTTCAGTTAGAAGATGTTAAATACATACACATACCCGGACAAGTTAGGCTAGAAGGCGCATGTGTCGTAGAATTACACGAGTTTTCGGATACTTCCGGAAAGCATACCGCTTGCGCTTATATCTTTAGATACTAAAATACATCAACAATTTTATTGGTGTGACTTAAAAATAATATCAGCATCAAGCTTCGACAAACTACAATGGATTGGAAACTACGCCGTTCCCGTAAATAGAGACATCACATTAGACGTATCGGTTCTTCCAAGAGCTTCAACTACCCAGGCTCGGTAATATTTGACGATGAAACTATCGAAGCGGATAACTCACGGATGGATCAACCGTCAAACGTAAATCGGAGTTTTGTGCAAACCAAAAATGCTATTAGGACAAGGGGTAGAGTTTACAAATCAGGCTAGTGCTGCTGTATGAAAGTGAAGGCTTGCAGATCAAAAAGAACCACCAACAGAAGTTGCACACTACCAAAATGCGTATGCTTGATAAAATAGCAGAATCCAGGCTCAGATGGTAAGCTCACGTGATGAGGAGAATAGAAGACCATGTCGTTAAGATCCTTTCCATGGATACTACAAGAAAGAGGGGGGAGGAAGACCTCAAACCATCTGACTGACGAATGTTCAGAAGGACATGAAGACTCTAGGCTTCAACCAAGAGGATGCGCACCAACGAGGTTCGTGGAACCCCATGATTGGAAAATCCGACTCCGCGTAACGGGAAGATACGATGCCAAAGAAGAAGAAGAAGTGGGAAGAAGCCAATAAAATGTGTGTTTGTATGTTTTGCACCAAACGCAATACACCTCGAGTATATTAAGTGTCTAAGTGAAGAAGTATGCTAGACATATACTCATATAACGGTACAAATTTTACTGGTATGAATGCTATGTTAAAGGATTTTTATAACATGCTAATTGATCCCAGTAATGTATCAGAGATAATAAATACTTTCGGTGATCTTTGGGAGACTTTATGAAGAATATAATACTCATCTTACACAAATTGAAACGATACTCAAATCACGCTCTATTTCTTCTTTATCGAACGGCCCGAACGATCCTACTCCATTAATTCCACTCCATTTCACTTTTTAATAATGGTCGCACTCTTACTTTCTTGTCGAAGTCCTCACTGGCTAATGTAACAATCGTCTAAGAAAATTCGACCATGTACAAAAAATTACGCAGCACTTTTGGAAACGCTGACGCAAGGAATATGTAAGCGAATTCTGAGTTAGGACCACGTAGAAGCAACACGAAGAGAGCCTACTACGCCCTCGTAGTGTTACAACAAAACAATTTGCTACCTTTTATTAAGCGGCGGACGAGTCCACTCAAAAGCAGACAAGATTGTTAGTGGTATCAGAAAAAAACGGTAATGGCTCTATTATAAAAAGAGCACTGAACAAGGTATATGTTCCTCCGCTGTACAGGTCGTGAATGCAAGGATCTTCTATTTCCTAAGCATTACTAGATTAACATAGATTTGGATTGTTTGTTCCTATTATTACGTATTGGTTAATTGTTTATGTTTCATAATTGTTGTGTAATCAAACACCTTTCGCCTAACGCCACTATTATTCACTACTACATCACATACTTTATCGCTACTTTGCTCTTCTTATTTGAATCGTAACTAAAGCTCGAACTTTCGACCTCGCTATTTATAGGGACTGGGCTGATTCTAGAAAGATTCCAGAACGAGGAATTTCGAAAATCCGATCTTCTCTATTACTAGCGAGAGCTAAGCAACCCACTACAAGGCTCTTGACGTATAATCGGTTGCCTAGACACAGCAGTATGGTTTTCTGGGGTTTATTATTACTCGTATTTAAACTTTATGTTGGAAGTTTCTTCAACTTTCAAAGAGGGCAGCATATTCGCATTCATCTACCTACTCATCATTTTTTACCTTAAATACTAGCATTTATTGATTGTTTAACTTAAAGTCATAATAGTATTTGTCTGTCGATATTCTTTTGGTATAACTTTAAGTATACTGACCCTTTGCAAGCAAATACTAACAATGTCAACAACGTCTTTGGAATAGTTGCTGTCACGCATCTATTTATGAGCAAGGCATTTAAAATAGTGGAATACTATTCGTTACCACCTTCGTTCTTTCCGCTGTGAGGGTGGAGAATATGTGTATGTATACGTTTCCGCAATTAAAAACAAAGTTGAAAATCAGATCATCAACCGTAAAAACAGCAAGTCTTTTAACATGTGTATTTCTATTTACATTTTTGCAGCGCTAATTGTAAACCGTGTAATTAAATATTTTATTAGGTGCAGTTACTCGTGCTTCTTTCTTATAGAAGTAGTTTAATTATATTTAACTCGGACCATAACTTTTGTATATTCCCTCATAGGAAAAAGAAGGGGCGCGTCATCGCAAAATACATAAAAATGAATACTTTTTTACGAGTTACTTACTAGATACTGCTTCATAAAAAACTTCATAGTGTATCATCATTTACAATATGTAATGAAATATAACACTATTATACCATTTACAAGGTACATTGCTTTGATCTTGATCTGCACTAAATAAAAATTTCGGTAATTGTCTGGTTTAGCAGTCACACCTCAGATCACCTTTAATTTTTGGTATGTTCTAGAGATGATTATGTTAATCATTTTGTGATATATATTTTGGGCGCGGAAATGATAATGAAGCATAGTTTTCGAACATTGAAAATAAAATAGGCAATAATACGGTAAACTGTTTGGAGATATATTTATATACATTAGTGACGTCATTTTTTAGTTTAGTTAGGTTAGGTTAGGTTTGGAGATGTATATGCATTGGTGACGTCTTTGTTTGGTTAAGTAGATTTATAATAGGCTGGAGTTTATTTAACGTCCCTAACCGCTGGACGTCTTCAGTGCATATACATCTCCAAACAGCCTGACGTATTATTGTCTATTTTATATATCATAGGGCACCACATATTGTTTTTCAACGTTCGAAAAGTATGCTTCATATCAAAATGATCAGCATAATCACCTCTGCAACATACCAAAAATTTGAGGTGATTGGAGGTGTGGCTGCTAAACTAGACAATTACCAAAATTTATCATAAGAGCGCCATTACAAGAATAAAAAAAAATATTTAATTGGTCTGGCCATTTTCATTGTTTAAACATTTTTTTAACTCATTTTTTGTCATTATATCTTAAATTTGTAAAGCAGTAATTTTCGAAAAAATGGTTTTACTTTGAAAGAAACTACCTGGTGGGTAGGTAATCTAGCTACAATATTCAAATTTAGCGAAAGGAATACTTAATTCAAATTGTTTAATAACTTACTTGGTAATACGAATTTTCAGAAGTGAAAATGTCCCATAATTGGCACTTGAGATTAAAGTTACACTAGCATTTTATACACAAAGTCAAGTAAAAGTTTAACCCTTAATAATCATTTTTGAAGATGTTGCTTTAAGAAGTGAATTGTCAATTAAACAAATTCATACTTTCAAATTAATAAAACTGAAGTTAGCACCAATTTTAAATACAGGAGCAATAAACAAAATATTTTAAAATTCTACAATTTTAGTGCACTTAAATAAATTCACTATACAAGATCACCTGCATACTGCATTCGCGAATGCGTAGTTCAAGATTAATTAACAATTGCCTTCATTAATAAAGACATTCAAACCGAAAAATTTATATGTTATTGAGTGTGTTGAGTTTTTCGGCCAACGAGTTACCGAATGAATTGGCAAAACCGGCACTTATTGAACTTAGCAAACTATACGGTGTTTCAAAACATTCAGTCTGATTATCAGATAAATCAGTTGCATCGTAGTTACTTCCCACAACACGAAAACCAAAGCTTGAGAGTTCTACACAAACTTTGTTTCCTTCTAACGTTTCGATGTTAAAGAAAATTGTCTGATTCGTACTAGCTAATTTATCACATATTTTTATTTCATTCACGTGATCTTTAATATCGCCAATAACTGCTTCCGCTTCTAATTTCCAACTTTCCGAATCAAGCACAAGTTCTGTCACATCTGACATTATTGATGTTTATGTAACTGATACGTCTGAAGTTGACTGTAAACCATTGAGGTTCAGAAGCGTTCCGTGAATTAGAAAATGATGAAGTGAGGGCACTAACCATTACAAAGCGTTGCTATTTATTACACAAGAGTCTTAGTATTTTCAGTACTAAATGTTTTTAAAAAAAATATTACATTGCATTGATTTTGCAATTTGCTACACTACGCCAGGCGTACCAAATTCATGCTACTCTTATAGACTATCACGTAACATTAGGAACATAATAGGTTGCATAACCACCGCACAATAAAATTGTTAATATTATTAGCAGCTTTATTTTAAGACCTACATTTTCTGTATTACTACTAGTGAAATAAACGAAAGTTTTCAAATCAGAACAATTTGTAACCAGATAAAGTTTGGTAATCACTAATCAATATTCTTCAAGTATGCCAGAATAACTTAGAAAAAAGTCTATCGCAAAAAATATACTTATCTTATTTTTATTTAACAATTTAAGTGAAAAAACCAGTTCCTTCTGTTTGAGAGGGGTGCAACCGATTACCTTACTGTTGTACCTTATTTTCCCAATTAATATTTTATACACACATGCACAAAAATATGCCTCCATTAATATAAAATAATTATCCCACTACAGATTACCTCAAGTTAATAAGAGAAATTTTCTTGTTGCTGCTGTCACACCTTCGTTAGGAATCGAACCCGAAAAACTTTCTTAATATCAGTTTACTGGAATCCGCCTGGTTTAAATTCCCTCCATAAATTCACGGTATTGCTTAGTGCAAGAGCATAGGTCTTTTTCGCTTCTTATTATTATTATTAAGGCATTAAGTCTTCCCACTTTGGTGATGGATTAGTCGAATTTTTAACTATTGTAAGTAAACCAAATTATTTCTCGCTGTAAATATTAGCTGACAAAGACGAAAAGGTACAATAGCTATTTTATATTTAGCAGCTACTTTCCGGATGCTTTACACATGGAAGAGCATATATCAAATAGGTAATATCTCTAACTGTCTAAGAAGCGCTTATGACATGTAATCAGGTGGATACAGGAGAATCAATTTTTCAATATTTTCACTTGTAATGCTCTTTTTATCTAAAAGGTTTGTGAGAGTGTTTGATATTGAATTCAAACGTTCGACAACCATTTTAGATTTATCTTGTAAAAAGTTTTCAATTTTACCTTAAACCTTTAAAAATTATTTTCTACAAAACATATTTATATAAGTTGCATAAAAATTTGAAAAATTCGACCACAATTCTGACCGCTAAAAGGCATGTCCATTAGTAAACGTCGATGGTAGCCACCATAACGAAGTTCTATGGGAGAAATGAACGCCAGATTTGTGGCTAACTTATAGAAATGAGCCACGAATTTTAACCCTGGGAATTTCGTTGATGGCCAGGACGCGGCATCCAAGAGTTATCCCTCATCATCGTCAATGACAAGTTTAATTACGAATTGTTACTGCTTTGCCTATTATGAATTAGTATGTAGTCATTTGGTATTGCATACTTTAATAGACATTTATATGGTTCTAATAAATGAACCCCATAGTGATGATCCCTACCTAAACGCATTGATTGTCGTGATCGCGAAGTTTTCATGATACTATGCTCATTTAATAGATATTTTCTATACCAACAGACATTTTTCTACACGATTTGTCAGTATGCTAGTAGACCATTTGTCGCCGCCAGTCCGTAATCCCTCTTCAACAGTTTGTGTTAATCATTTAACGTCCGAGCTGACTGCGAAATATCATTTAATCGTCAATAATCTGACCCCGGAGGCGTTATTGGCGGTCACCGACATTATCAAATCGCCGCCTGCTTCAAATAAGTACAATTTTCTTAAAACACAGGTTGTTGATTGCCTAACGGATAAAGAGCTACGCAAAGTTCTGGCTGAACTCGAGCTTGACGATAGGAAACCTTCAGAATCACCCAGATTTGGTAGGCGCCCAAGCTCCTAAAAAACGTTGAAAGAATACCCTAGTTAACCTTACTTGCTGCTGGTGCGCATACGTTGAAGGAGAATCATCGCATTTCGCTGTGACTGCTGCTACTCATTCCATCTATCCTTCTGCCCCTTTCCAAGCCTGCAACTTCTGGTTACTCCATTGTGACACAGCTTAAGGAGATCAGAAAAGATCTAGAGAATTGGACTACTCAGCTAAAGCAAGTAAACAACAAATTGAAAACGACGATCGTGACAGACCTTGTTCTCGCCCACAATCTAGTACCAGAGAGCCGCACATTTCACTGGCAGGATATTGCTATTACCACTATAATTTTGACAACCGCTCGCAAGAATGCAATAAACCGTGTGCCTTAAAGCCTACTTCAAGTCAAACGTCTTCGTTTGAAGGAAACTAGCAATGCTGTCGTCAGTAGCAGCGGTAAGCGACAGCAACAATCAACTACTACCGTTTCTTCGGAGGCCTTAAGTGTAGTAACTTACTTTTCCTGATAGACTATGGGTTCATTCATTCAATTATCTCACATCACATCATGATTAACTACATTTTTTTGCTGTCAATAACTCCACTAATATTACTTGTGGGAGATACCATCTCTCCTTACAGCTTGGTCTTTTTCGAGATTTCAAGTGGTTATTCGTCGTTGCCGATACCAATCATGCTACCATAGGTGATAATTTTTTGACCTATTTTGGACTTTCTGTCGACGTGCAGGGCTAATGTCTCATCGACAGACCTACCACACTCACCGTGAGTGGTTACATTGTGAAAGTATCAAACAATCGATTTAACCACACAATTTCTTTCACTGCTTCAGACGCACTTACGAATTCCCCTTCTATTGTAGAAACCCATATATATTGTTATTTTCTACTCTTCCATACGACAGCTGCATTTCCCAACTTGCAAAGCACTTTGGTGGTCAATTTCCTCGTAATTTTGTCACCAGCATAATCGGAATCACTAATGGCTTCGAACCTTTCTTCCTTCCTTCCCAAGTTCCAATGTTCCCTTCTCGCTTCTCTATAAGGGAAGTCTTTTATTTCATTTCTTTTAGGTACTAATCCCCCCATCCCAACCACTTTGAATTAACGTAGATACTTTCCAAATGCACACCCTTCACATAAGTCGTCATCAACTCCAGATACTGTCACACCGTTATGGTTTAGAAAATCGCGAACATGTTGCTTATTTTTATGAATAAGTCTTTCATGCCATACTTGAAGGGAATTGTCATAGTTCGCGACACATGCCAATTTCGGTAAAACGATGCGATAAATTGTCTGCCTATTGCTTCAATTTTCTCGTTTCTCATAAACACATACCATTTTCCTTTTCGCTTTAGAGGGGTTTTTCATAGGTTGATGTCTGGGTGTTGTGCAGGTTGGTGGTGTCTTTTCGAATGTGAGGAAATGATCTGATCTGACCAATGCAGCGCTTCGGACGTTTGCCTTGGTAATCAATCTCGTAGTGGAGATCACCTATATGTCCCAGGGAGCCATTTGTCTAGCTTTATGTTGCCAGATAAGAAGTAAACCTTTTGTTCAGTTGACCTTGGTTTAGATGTCATCAGATTTGGTAAGGTTGAGGCGAATGAAGTGAAGTAAAAATCTCGTCCCAAGAATAGTGGTGCTGGAGGTTGGCCAGTGGTAGAGTGCGGAGTCTTGCGAAACTAACGAAGGAACTCGTTCGAGTTGGCGTGGAGAGTTCTTTTGGTTGTCTTCATTTTTTATAGGGCGTCCTTTACCATCGGAACATATCGTTCAGCTTGGCCATTTGTTGATGATTGGTACGGTATTGGTAGTTTACAGTATTTCACACCACTGTTCTGCAGGAAGATGTTAAACTCTTCTGACATGAACTGTCGACCGTTATTAGAGAATAGGTCGTCCATGATGGCGATCGTGATGGTTGCTGTCGTGAAGGTTTTTGGTTTATCCTCAAGCCATTTGATGTAGGCGTCAACAACAATCAACATGGTAGTTTCTGCAACTGGCCTAGCGTAGTCGATGTAGATCCGTTCATATGGTGCTTTTGGGTACTCCAAGTGGTTAGGGAATTAGGGTGGTGCGTGTGCATAGTTTGCACCCACAAGAGTTTCGATGTTTGCGTCAATGCCAGACCAGGACACGAAGGAACGTGCCATGCTTTTCTTATTCATATTTATCTTAAGATGAGCTCTTGTCCTGACTAAAGGACCTTGACAATTTTGCCAAGGTGGAAGTCTTTCTTGGCAACTGCTTTCAAAGGCAGTTGCTGGATCTGGTAAACTGTGAACAAATCAAATTCATCAAAACCGTTAGCCTTTTCTTCTTGTGGAGATGAATGGTTTCGAAAGGACTGTTGATAGAATATGAGTTCGAGAAAAATAATCTGCGTTTGCGATCGCCTTGAAGGTCTTGAAGATGATGTCGTAGTTGAAGTGCGCCAGGTAGTTAGCATAGTTGGCCATGCGACTGATGCATAGAACTGAGAAGAACTTCTTGGGATGTGGGATCCGTGTCAAAGGCTTATGGTTGATGATCGAGTGGCGAGCGTACAGATAGTTGAAAAGCTTCTGTACAGCTCACACGATGTAGGTAAGTCTTGGATAAACGAGTCGTAGTAGGCCGCTTTTACCAGGAACAACTGCAGTTCTTCTAATGTGCTTAGATGCGTTTCATATAGGTCAGATGTGTGCGCCGGACTTGTGAATGCTAGACGCGATGATCTTGTGATCAAGAGTTTCTAAGGTAAGCTGAGCAAAGACACATTTTGACCGATTGAACTTGAGACCATGTTGCCGGAATCGTTCCAGATGAGTTATGTTGAGGGCATGTACAAGGTTTTCAAAATATTCACTGAGAACAATATTGTCATCAAAGATACTCAAGACGTTTTGAAGATCTTGCGGATCAGGCCACGAATTGGAGAGTTGAGCGAGAACACGTGGCTGAATTCATCATCGGCCTCGAGAGAAATGTACGCGTCGGTGGCAGAAAAGACCGGCACCACGCATTTGGTTGAATAGGTGTTCTACCTTGGGGATCGGGTGTTCAGATGATCCGCAGTTTGAATGTGGGC